GTGCGTCACCAAGCCGGTCAGGAAGGTTGACGAGAAAGGCGAAGACAAAGGCGGATACTACTTCGAAGCAACTCATGTAGTGGAACAACGAGTCTCTAATCTCGCCCAGGGCCTCCTGACACTTGGTACCATGACCGGCCCTCTCCTTGTCGTTTTGCACCTCATACCTCATGGTGTCCTGGCCGGTCTTTTCTTCGTGATGGGTATCCAAGCCCTGGAAGGCAACGGAATCACTGCCAAGATCGTTTTTCTGGCCCGGGACAAAGCCCTGACTCCGGCCACCGCCGAACTGAACACGATTAAACGCCGCGCTGCCATCTGGATCTTCGTCGGCATCGAGTTGCTCGGCTTTGCTGCGACCTTCGCCATCACACAGACAATCGCAGCCGTCGGCTTTCCCATTTTCATCTTCCTCCTCATCCCCATCCGTACGTTCCTCCTTCCTCGTATCCTCCGACCAGAGGAACTTGCAGTTCTCGACGCTCCCACAGCCTCACCATTTACAATGGAAGGTATTGGCGGGGCTTGGGGAGGATCGTGTGCCAGTGTCGATGATCGACGCGATAGCAATGACACTACAGCCTCTGTCAGCAGACAATGTTCGCAACAGGAGTCTCATCTCCGCCCAGAACTCCACGACAGTGTCTTCGCCAGCCCTGGCGACCCTCGCAAGAGTCAAGAAGACTTTGCGGACTTGAGCCAAGTCCACAGCGGTCACAGTACAGCAACGAGAAGAAAAAGTGTGGATAGAAGAGTGCCGAGCTCTTCTCAAGCTGGTCACTCTTAAATCAAAAGTCGATCCTTTAACCAGTGTAAAAGGTACAGAAACCTCAACAGTAACCGCAGCCTAGTATTGAGGCTATATAGAATTTTGGTTTTGGATATAACGCTACGGCTGTTGTAGATGCTACCCTTTCCTCCCATACCCAATTAGAAATAGCTGTTTCAACAAGATATACTGTTTGAATAACAATAAATATCAATCCATATGATTATCATTGGCAGATGCCGTCGCCCACTCCCAAACGCCCTTTGTTCCTTAGGGAAATCTCATGAATCTAATCCTCATCATCGCTGTCTATGACAAACCCACCCTTGACCCTTGGCCGTCTTGCTACCACGGGTCGTTCCACTTCCTCTTCTCCATCCTCATCCATGTCTTGGGTTGTTGCTTTTTCAGTTGGGTCTTCCATATCCACATCAAAATCGTTATCCGGAATGTTGTCCTCAGTGTTAGAGTCCCCATCTTCATCCTCACTCATTCGCCGCCTCTTCCTCCCCTCTGTATCACCGTTAGTCCTGCCGACGGGGGCATCGTCACCCTCGCTTTCTTCGGCGCTGCTATCACTGTCCAGCGCTATTCTCGCCAGCTCCAGTCCATCGTCTCCCTCTTCGTCGTCATCATCCAGAAGCATCTCAGACTTCCGCTTCTTTTTGCCTTCCGAGTTTGATTTCGGCTTATCGGAGAAGGAGAGACCAGCAGCAGCTTGCTCCGCGCGGGCAGCAATGGCCCGCTCACGGGCAAAGAACTCCTCGTCCTCGTCTGAATCGAAGTCGTCGTCGCCCTCTTTGACATAGAGGGCCGACTTGATCTTCCGCGCCTTCTCCTTCTCGCGCTCCCGCCTCTTTCGCGCCTTCTCGTTCAGCTCCTCGTCGTCGATCTCCTGGTCTTCCGAGTCCTTCTCTTTCCTGCGGAGGCGCTTCTTCTTTGGCTTCTTCGGGTCGTCGATTGCCTTTCTTGCCGTCGGGCCCCCCATGGGAAACAAGACGTCATCATCGATACCATCGTCCTCGTCATTCTCGTCGTCGTCATCGTATGCCGCCTTCTTCCGCGGCACGGTCTTGCGCTTAAGCATATTCTCGGCCAGCACCCCTTCGTCAAAGACGGGGGGGCTGAACTCCGCCTGGTTGATGTAGTGAAGGGTGTCCTTGAGGGTGTCGGCAGAAACTTGAGGAGGGATGACCCAAGATGAATCGGGCGTCTCCTCGGATGTTGGTTCTTCGCGCTCGAAACCAGCAACGGTCATTAACAGGCGAAGATGGGAGTTTTTAAATACGGCAGTTTTCCGGGCATCATCATCTGGTTCAACACCTGTAGTATGTTAGCCTGGGGTTGTTGTATTTATAAAGGCTTGAAAAATTGGGAAACTTACGGATCAGAGGTGGTGCATTCGACAGGGCCCCCTGAGTCTCATTCTCATCGTCAAACGGATCATCTTCTGCGGCTCGAGCTTCTTCGGCAGCGGCCCAAGCTCTACGCTCACTCTCAGCACTGCTAAGTACACCCTTCAACCAAGCAATGTGATCTGCCTGGTTCTTGTCGAGTAGAGCACCCACGACGATGGCGATCTGGCGATCCTTTTCCTCTGTATTCTTAAACACAAGCTCCGCGCCTGGCTTTGCCTGGGTTTTCGTTGAGCTAGTCTGTTTTTCATAGCCGAACTCGAGGTAGTATGCGGTGCTCTGGATTTTGCTGAAGAGCAGCTCGACGATGAGCTCAGGCCGCTCCTCAATCTTCTTGAAACACTTTCTGAGAATCTGCTTGACAAGCTCCGTCCACTCTTTATATGTGCTAGAGGATTTATCCAGGGGCTCCGGGCCCTTGATCATATTGTAGAGCAGATGGACAATGTCCACACGGAACAACATGACACTCATTTCTTGCTTGAAAGCCACGCGGTAAAAGAATCGGTGTGCCCGCTTAAGCTGAGCATCTGTCAAGTCGCGGTAGTATTTGGTAAACTTCACAAATGTGTCGACAACACCTTGTGAGCTGAAGCGGCCACAGAATCGGTGGAAATCGAACTTCCTCTCCTTAATGGTTCGCTCGGCCTCCTTCTGGTCATCTCCGGATGCGTCGTCGCCCGCATCGTCATCTCCCCCGCCCCCTTCTCCGTTGGCATCCTTCTTCTTCCGACGCGTTCTCTTCCGCGAGCGGACCTGCATGTCAACGTTTTGCTTCGAGTACATCTCCAAGATGCGGAGGAACTGGTGAACAAGCTCGGTAGCTGCATCAAGATAGTCAAATCCTTGATCTTTATACGTCCTAATGATGCTAGCGATTGCGTCGTGCGTCGTCTCCTCGTAGAACAAGCGGCTGAGGATATTCTCGGCAATCTCCTCGTCGCCCTCGTGCCCGCTAGTGTACATCTCCTGTACGGTGAGGAGGATCTGCGTGAAGCACCGCATGACGGCGGTAAGCTCATGCCAATCTTTGTATTCGTAAGATTCGTGGAGACCCTTGTTCAGGGTGATGAACATTTCCTGGTTGAGAACTCCAGCCACCAGGTTGAAGCTGGACACTTCTTCCTCCGTGCCCTTGGGGGCGTTTTCCTTCTTCGTCTTCCTCCTCATGCGCTCTGCTTCGAGAAACCAGCCGACCAAGTAGAAAAACTGGCGCCGGTGATGCTGGAGAACATACGTTGCCTCGCGGTCCAGAGTCCTCCGGATATGCGAGAACAACGGATTGAAGCCCGAGTCCAGGAACTCTTCGGTGAACGCGCGGAGCTGGCCGTTGGCCCTGGCATTGAGCTTCGGGGGCCGCCCAAACTCAGCGTCCAGCTTGTCCTCCTTCTTCCCGCGGCGTGGCGGCTTGAACGTCTTTGTGCTGTCCATCTTCCGTGTTCGGGCTGCGGCGTCGACCAGGGCTTCCTGGCCCGTGACCGTAGTCATCTTACCATCCTCCCGCTTCACCCATATCATAGTTCCGAAGCGGTTGTGGCGTGTCGGTCGGGTGTAGGATTTGAGCATTGCCTCCTCCTTCTTCATCAATTCCGCCAGCTCGTTGTCCTTGGCTTTGTAGAGTTGTTTCTCGTCCACGAATAAGGTGCTGGTATTGACACGTTTGACCAGGTGGTAGATGATTTCCATCACGGTTGTATCCTCGGTGCGGAATTCGTCGCCCATGTTGGAAGCCAGAGTGAGGAGGACATGGAAAATGTCCTGGTATGAAAAGGCGTCGATGGTCACGGATCTCGATATCTGCGACTCCTCGCCATCGTCCTTGGCCCCAAGAGGCAGGGCAATGGCGGCAACATTGCGGAGGAGGAAGAGCACCAGTTTGATTATGCCCTGATCCCGCTGCGTCCTTTCCCCAATGGGGATGGCCATTGACGGCAGTGCCACCCTCACAGCAGCATGGAGGATCCTAGCGCCGTCAAAGTTGACGATGGCCCGTTTATAAGCGACCTGGGCGAGCTCAAGCACGGGAATGTGACGATGATGGTTCACAGTCATCCGCTCCTTGTCACGCTCCATCGGCCAGGTCAGAGGCACCATGAGCTCAAAACATGCAAGAGCTATTCTCGATTTGTATTTGCTGTCCATCTCGTTCTCGGGCCAAGTTGCAAGAATCGGGAGGAGGTCGCCCTCGATCAGGTTGGCTTCGTAGATGCATCGTGCGACATCCATCCGGTTCGTCTTCTCGTCGTAAAATCGTATCCATCGTTTTAAATCTCGCAGGACTTCCAGTGCGTCGTCTCCGAGCTGGTATCGGCCATCGTCGTCCTCGGCGCTGATACCTCCGAGCTAACCATGTCTCATCAGATACTTATCCGCAGACAGTTGATTGAGGGTGCAAACTTACCGCAGAAACAAGACTGTTGATATGAGCTCGGACTTCAGGATGGACTACATCCACGGTGCCATCGGCCATCTCCATCCTGATCTACAAATCAATTACGGACTGCTTGATCTTAGATCGTCATGGGCATCGACAATGGGAAATTATTTTTGGTGGCTTCCTGCTCCCCTCTATTGAGAGGCGAACACGCGTTTGACGCGTTTTGGCAGGACCCGCGTAAATTAGAGCGCGGTCAGTGCTGATTGCTTATCGGAGTTACTGATAGCACGCGATAAGCCGAGGCCAGCCCGTCCCGGATCCGGGGTAAGTTTCCCCAATAGAGCCGAGGTTACCCGCAATTATACCCGCCTACAAACATACAGCTCTGCCGTCCAGCTTCCTCCCGCCTTGCCTTTTCGTTATCACCAACAAGAATAAAATGGCCGTGTCAATGGTTCGACAGCAATTTCCCCGTGCTTTGCGCCGTGCGCGCACTTTCAGCACTACCCCCCGACAGCATGCAGCTGAAGTCAAGCGGTTAGGTGTTATCGGCGCAGGACAGATGGTAAGCACTGTACAAGCATGTGAAGGGAGACACCGGAAGCTAATCGAGCAAACGAAAGGGTCTGGGCATAGCCCTTGTTGCCGCACAAAGAGCACAAGTCCCAGTATCGATCATTGATTCATCTGAGAAGTCATTGGCAAAGGGCATTGCATTTGCAGGTGGGTTTAGAGCATCACTTGCAGGTCATGTGTGAAATCCTGCTAACCTAAAGCTCCAGAAAAGCTACTGGCCAAGGATGTCTCCAAATCAAGAATCACACAGGACCAGGCTGACCAAGCTCGTTCTCTCCTTACACCCAGCTCCAAGATAGAAGACCTTTCTTCCGTTGATTTTGTGATTGAGGCTGTTCCCGAGATTCCACAGCTCAAGTTTGACATCTTCAAACAGTTGGCTGAGATATGCCCCAAGCATGCTATCTTGGCCACCAACACCTCATCCATCTCTATCACAAAGATTGCAGCAGCCACCACGTCTGATCCAACTGACACATCAGCCTCGTCTCGAGTTGTGTCCACCCATTTTATGAACCCAGTTCCCGTACAAAAGGGTGTGGAAATCATCAGCGGCCTGCAGACGAGCAAGGAGACTCTGGAAACTGCTGTGGAGTTTTGCAAGAAGATGGGAAAGATCACCTCAGTGTCTGCCGACTCTCCTGGGTTCCTGGCAAACCGTATTCTCATGCCGTATATTAACGAGGCCGTTATCTGTCTGGAGACTGGGGTTGGCGACAGAGATTCGATTGATGCCATCATGAAGAATGGTACCAACGTTCCTATGGGTCCTCTGCAGCTCGCAGATTTCATTGGACTGGACACCTGCTTGGCCATCATGAAAGTTCTGCATGAAGAGACGGGAGATTCAAAATACCGCCCAAGCGTCCTATTGGGCAAGATGGTGGATGCTGGATGGCTGGGCAAGAAGAGTGGCAAGGGTTTCTACGACTACTAGTTTCGCCTATCATTCTAGGGTAGCCATATTAAGATTGTGATAAGTTCTATTTCGGTGTCCTCGGAGCCTTGTTTTTGGTCCTTACAACTAGGCGGAGGATCAATGTGACCCTATGAGAATTCAGGAAAGTGGGATTGTTGAGCATCTTCAGCCCACTCCTCATCAAGCAATTCGTAAAACACGACTGTCGTCCCTCTGGCAAAGGTTCCTTATGCAAGCGTACTGAGAAACGAATATATTAGGTGCATCCGAGGAAGCGAGGTAGGGCTTGACGACCGGATTGTTACAGTCGCCATCCATTATTATATTTCAAGAGGACTTTGGCACCAGTCAGGATTCTTTACCTATGATCCCCACTCGGGGCGAGATAATCAACTGATATTGAATGAAAGTAAGTATTCCTAAGACAAGGCGAGGTAGCGGGTGCTAGCCTCACTCGCATAGAGCGCCCGTTTGACTGGTCAACTCGTGAGACAGTTGGCGAACCCCCCTGTCTTGCCTCCCTACGGAGATGGTGTGGTCCCAAAGTTGAGCATGACGGTAGGCCAACCAGTTTGCATCATGCAATGCAAGGTAGGAGAAGGCGGATATTCTCATTACCACTTTGAGTCGATGGCATAGGGGGTGGGAATGAAGGCCCTTTGGATGGCTTTGACTTGAACACTCTAACAGTCTTGCAGGGGACCAGGGGTTCGGCCGAACCACGATCAAAGTCAAGCCGTGGTGGTATTCGGCAATTCCCCCATCCATGGAGGTGTTTGGGAGTTGCGTGGAGATCCTATCACCAAAGGGTGCGTTTCTATTTTCAGCTTCACGTTCTGCAACATATCGAGGCGATTTTTTTGCCTCCGGGCTAAGAGGGGGTGTACTATCCAGCTCCTAAGATGGTAGGGCTAGGACAAGAATATGCGCGTGGCGGTTTTGTCTACGAGAACGAGAGCGAAATCCGAAGGAGCCGTAAAGAGGAGCGTTTTCTGGGTTTGAGCAACCACGGAAAGGTCTTCAATTAGCCTGTCTCTAAATGACCTTAAGGCAGTACAGCAAACTAGTTGAAGGAAGCTCCAGGGACAATAAACAACACTTCGATTGCAAGAAGGAAGCTTTCAGAATCTTGTTCATTAACTTACCGGGGTAGGCTCGTTGCTGTGGATGGTTCCCGTGGCTAGTTACTTACGAAGTTGAATCTCGGACGGCGCCAAATTGGTCATATGTGCATGTATGCATGCTTGCATTTGTCATGATCAACAAAGTCAAGTGACATTTACTCTGCCGCTCTATAGAAGGATCGTAGTTAATATATCGATGGTGGCTGGTTGGATAAAGCAAATCGGGATTGGCTATACCAGCCCAGGATCTCTGACTCAAGGACACCCCAATTGATTCTCATAAGGCAGGGCGGTATCCCACCTTCTGACTCGTTGAATCAATCGCAAAGAAGGCTGCACGAGGGCCGAGAGCTGCATACATACCTTGATAGGTATCTACCATGTACGGAGTAGATTAAAAGCGGCAGGGTCGGGAGCTGGGGATTTGTCCACGCCCAGGACGTAGCCCCAAAGAACTTTTTTCCGTCTGTAATGCGGGCTAGAGGATGGTCTGAGGGCCAGCCCACCTTGATGTGTTAGGCAATTGCCGATTGAGCGGCAACATGCTTGTACATGGATGTGGCCACCCGTCGTCCGGGCTCATTGAATAATGCAACTGTTTGGACGGCCGCCTAGCCCAGGCTTGCAGATTCTGGAGCTCTTGGTTACCATCGGGGGTCGGACCAGATTAGGACAATCTCAAAGGAATCCCAACAGAATGAAAGATCAGAACAAGCAGCACCTACAGCTATCCTAGACATAGGACGGATGGCGTCGTTTTGTCAAGAGAAACTGGCTTGAACAAGTGGGCGCACGGGGAGATATTCACTTTCAAGATCCAACATCATCTGCTCATGCTAGTTTTCGCGCTGGTGCTCCGACTCGGGAGCCTGCTGCATGGCGACGGAGACAGAGCAGGCGCTGGCGGTGCCATGCTGCGAGCTGCGGAATGGTGTCACCAATAGGTACGTACGCACAGCTATTTTCTCGACCCCGGGTGCAGCTGGGGATGAATGCCTAATCACCCCCTCGATCAGACGATCAAATTGAGCCTGCGCCAAGTGGACAAAGGCAGAAGGCTCCTCCACAAAGAAAGCCAACCAGGCGACGGCTGGTGTTGCTCCCTACTTCGGGACACAGATGAGGAAGTGGCCGAGAAAAACGGTTGCGCTATGAATGGAACGGTCCAGGCGACTTGCCGGGAATGGTAACCCCGAAGCCCAGTGGTAATAAGAGAGACAGACATAATTCCCACCTCAAACACCTAGACTAGGTAGGGGCAGTTGCCATTAAGCCAACAGAAGAGCAATGCCGGCCAGTAGTGAAGTGAATGGACCATCCGGTTCTTGTGATCAGGTAGGTACCTTCCTTGGTTCCGAGTGACGGGACGGCAGGTACAACCCAGCCAGACGGGATGGCTTGGTAATTTCCCCAGGGGGCACTGTCCGTTGGGCACGAAAAGAGGCTTGGGAGTTCTTGCCTCGACAAGGTAGTTGGCACCTTCCAATGCCAAGCGTACCGGCCTTACTGTTGTAGCGGCCGTGCCTACCAGATACATGATGCACTGGGGGGTACTGCAATAATCAATCTCATCGTACCTGCATCATGTGTGAAATGATGGTACCTGGTCACAGGTCCTTATCCTTGGTCCTCTTGCGGACGATGTAGGTGGCCAAGTGGTGAGAGATTCAGGTTCGAGTTGTGATGGGTTTCTAGTAAGTCAAAGTCCTTTTTTTATATCTCGAAGCCTGGGTGCGTGCAAGCGATGAGCAGGGACGGCATCTAGCCCACACAGTCGAATAGACCAGGAGCAATCTGTGGTCGGCAGTACCAGCAACTAAACCCGCCAAAGATCCAGCTGGCTCTGGCCAAGTTCAATACAAACACCGGCCTTTTTGCATAAGGCGCCATCTGGTATCGGACTCGAGGACAAATTCGGTATTTCGCGGCATGAGCCTATCGCGGACCACCAGTAATTACCGACGGAAAGGGGGCGCGTTCTGTCTGGCTGGTGCTGCATCTACCGAAGCAAGATGGTCCTACTTGTTCTAGCCAAACGAAGGGGATCGGCACATCAAGCTGTGTCGAGTAGTGGCCGAAAAGGCGGCGACATGGAAGCGGCATGTATACGCGCATTGCAATGCACTTAGTCTGTTACCAATCAGGGGACATGGTGCGAGCACCCCACCCCGTATTTGAGCACACCTGGCACGTCGTCTGGCGGGCTCATTCTTGAAGGCTGTGAGCTGGGACAAGGGGAGTCGCCTTGCCCGCAGCCAGGCCAGAGGGCGTCGCTAGAGCCAGCTTGGCTAGATGTCAAATGCTTAGCAGGCGTGCCAGGGATGGGGAGCATGGCAGAGCGGTTGCTGGCGTCCAGGGTCTGCGCGGGCTGGCCAATCGCGGCGAGTCAAGCATTTTGTGCAAGTGTCTTGACATGGGCGACTGGGATTCCCACCTTACGATGTCTCACAAGTTCTTCCCTCCGGCAAGCAAACGGCCGCCTACGCGAGAGCCTTCCCGCTGCGAGCTACACTTCTTTTTCGGGGCCATTTGGCGAAGAGAATGGACATGCAACCCAATTCAACATATATGCAGGTTCACCTTTGACTACCTGGCTCGCAATCTATCTCAGACACCGCATGCCATAATAGGAAACAGCCCTATACACCCTTGGTAGCTCTTTGTCTCCCATATGGCAGTCACCAAAGTGCCGGGTTTGGCCCCCTCCCTCCCTCCCACCGATCCCCATCCCATCATCTCGCCTTGTGGCGAGATTTATTTTTGGAGACTGCCTCGAGCACGGCCATCTCAGCTCAGTCGCCTGGTCGCAGCTGGGAGAGCTTAATGCGACTAGTCCCTAGGTCTTCAGCACCGCGTGGTGATGCGTGCGCACTCAGCTGCTGCCATGCCATGCCATGTGTTATTATTTATTGTATGTGCATCTCGTTCCAAGCGACACGTGCTCTATATTAACCATCCAATGCCAGACCTGTTCGCGCTCGATGTTGGTGATCAAGAACCGACCATGTCCGTGCTGCAAACCTAGCTCAATTGCCATCAACTTCGGCTCCCAAAATGAACTTGAGTGTTGATGGGGTGGCATTTTCGTCCCATCATGGTTGACAGCCGGCGACCTTGTCATGTGAGCTGAGCTGCACTCTCTAGGAGTCAATGCTACGTAGCCTGAACAAGCACAACCCCCGCAAACACATCTGGCCATGCTTCCGGCATAGCTGTTTCTAGTATCATGTTTCGATGGCCGTATCAAAGGAAGCCGAAACCCTATCGCTAAGAGAGAGAGCCTCTCTCTCCTCCCATGCCCAGGTACCTAGATCGCAGGCCGTGACCCTGGGTGTGGCCTGGGCCCCCCCCTCAAATCATATCCTTGGCTCTACCAGACTGAAGTGTCGCCGTGGAGGCATACTGCATGGCACCAAGCCGATGCCCCTGACACTTCCCGTCCGTATCCCTGCTGCGACCCACAGAATCCAAAATTGTTCGCTGCCGATTGGAATCAGCTTCTAGCTTCTAACTAGCCCCGAGGCTGTCTTCCCCGTTGACGAATCCTAGTCACCGTTATTGCCCACTCAAGCCTGCTCGACCCATAGTGTGTGCTAACGATAATTATCAGCCCAACGAGTGCGTTGCTGCTGGTGGCGTGGCCTCCACGCGGGTGTGCAAGCAAGGTCAAGGCCCTCAGATCTCTTCTTTAATATACGGCACGGTCCAGTTCATGTCAAAGCAACCCTTGCTGGAGCCGGGCATTATTGACCCCAAGATTTCGAGAATAGCCATTTGTCTGTTGCGATGTCTCCTGTCTCGTGCGAGCGGAGAACATTGATTACACGGCTTGGAAACCAAAAGCGCCACATCCCCCCCCTTGGCCTGGCGATGATCTTGGGGCATTCTCGTTTTATTCGAGGACGCTGAGACTAAAAACGGGTTACGTTTGGTTCATACCTCGCCTAGCGTGAGCCTGTCCAGCCAGCATGAAGCAGCAGCAGCAGTATCATCCTCCCGTCGATGATGGCCCAAAGACTCCCGGTCGTAGCCTAACTCAAAGATCCCTTTTGCAATGAACCGTGTGTCGAAGTATGTACCTGCGTGTGGCGTGTACACAAGCTGCGTCCGCCCGTGGATGGGTCCTCAATGGATGTTCTACCCACTGAGAGGCCGCCACTAACAAGCCATGTCATATGTAGGACCTAGCCGCCATTTCGGGACACAGCGTTAATGGTTAGCCCTGTGGCATTGGTGAATCCTGCAAGGGAACGAAAACCGCCGACCTTATGGCGTCCTCGGGAGAAGCAGCAACTTGGCAACTGCCATCACCGTCCCCGTCATGTGTCACACATGCACATTATCGGAGGTTATCTCCCGTCCGAAAGCTGTGTGGGTGACGATGAAGTGAATAACTTCACCAGCCGAGTCGAGTCTGGGGCTATTAATGGAATCATGTCCATCAATCTGGTGATGTGGTATGATATCATCTCTTCCACCGCAGTAATACCCCGGATCTTTCCAGCCTATGTACGCCCCTGGGAAGTGATCTCTGAACGACGCGTATTTACCCAAGTCGGGTCTGGTGAGTAACTCCTTCAAGCAGATGGTCAAGCCCCAGCTCGCCTTTCAAACAACCCCTTAGTCCTCTGTTCAGTCAGGAGCCAGTTAATAAACAAGTGCACTGGGATGTCGCTTCCTCTCCTCTCCATCAACAACCGTGCCTCCGTTCTCAGCCTCGACTCGTGCTTCGACGAGTAGCCGTGGCAGTGTGTAGTAGCCCTGGCCTAGAGCGACCAGCCCACACACCTTGTTTACTACTCCCACCTCCGCGATCCTTGCAAGCGCGGATCTGGACGTAAACCGCATAGGCCGAGCTCATGTCCCCATACACTCCTATCCCACCTCAATACCGTCTGTATTAATAGAATATCTGTATCGGAGTGAGAAGCAGAAGCAAACGAGAAAACCCCCCCTCCCCCGTCTCGGCCGATCATCTCGCCTGCCCGCCCGCCCGCCTTGTGTGCGCACTTATACAAAATTCCCTTCACAAATAGTGATTGGGTCATCCGTCCTCTACCTCATGTCACTCATGCTCTAAAATACATACTATAGCTCCGCCTGCCGTGTCCACCCCTTGTCCCTCATCTCTCGACGGATAGCTGCTAGCATCGTTCACCTGCCCCGGCCGGCTTTCGTGTATTTGATCAATACAAGTGCCACCCTCCCGCGTTACTTCTCAAGGACAAACTCTTCTCCTGTTCTTGACTTCCGACCACCAATCATCTACGTTCACACGAGGTTTGATCTGTATACTACCGCCAGTTGATTCTCGGCATATACCCCCGGATACGGTAGCCAGCAACGACTTTATTTTGTCTTAGTCAAAGAGCCAGGTGTTTTTTAAGCCTTTCCCCGAATCTATAGCTGATTCTCATCACGATTCGGGCTCTTACCCCTCGTCGCTCCCTTGTCATTCCCCTCCCATCTGCTGACCAGAAAGAATTTCTGGGCAGTTCTCTTCACTCGACCCTGCAATATTTCCGACGACTACAACTGGTCTCCGCCGCCTGCTGTATTTATTGGCATCTTCCTTAGCTTTCAGCAACCTTCGAAGAGCTCCGGTCATTATACCCGGCTTCTTTCTTCACAGAAACAGAAAACCTCTCCTAATGCTTGCGACACAGTTTCGCGACACGGAGCACTCGTTGTGGCGTTTGGATAGGCCAAGCCAACCTCTACGAGGACTACCAAGCCCACGCATGTCTACCCTCTTTGCATCTTCTCTGTCATCAAGGCAGTCGGGATGGCAGTCACGGTATCCCGACCAACAGTCAGACGAGAGCCCAAAATTAGAAGTCCGCTTGTCGCCGTCCGCCATGGAAGAGAAAACCGCAGCGATCCCTGACCTGGAGAGCAGCCAGCCTCGCGTCTCGTCCTTCTCAGGCGCAATTCTTCCACAACCAATCGCTTACAAAGCGTCACTCTCTGAGCGAAGTGCCCGGGCACTTGTGCATGGCGACGATTCTAGTTCTGGGGGTAATCTGCCAGAACGTGATGAATCAGGAGGGATCAACGTAGCCCCAAGGATCGAAACAAGTCTTAAAGACGATGATGATTGCATGGACGACGACGATCTCTTCGACGGTGAAAGCGAGCACTCACAGCGACTACGGTCCGCTTCGGAGCGAGTCGCCGCACGTCGGAAAATGAAGCGATTCAGGTATGGAAGGGACCATCACAAAATGGAGGACCCCTGACAAAGGCGTGCTAACTCGGAATATCTAAAGACTTACTCATCAACAAACCCGTTTCCTCATGAGCGAATTCGTTAAACAACCACACCCAGATGCGGCACACCGTGATCGATTGTCCAGGCAAATCCCTGGGCTAAGCCCACGCCAGGTACAAGTCTGGTTCCAAAACAGGTAAGTCCTTAACACTCTTGAGTTTTGCCAATGGCAACAATACTGACTTTTTCTCGTCACTAAAAGACGGGCCAAGATCAAGCGTCTAAATGTGGAAGATCGGGATAGGGTCATCCGGATGAGAGCCGTCCCGGACGAGTTCGATACCGTACAAGCGTTACACTCACCCTACGGAGCCGTCCATGGCTATGCTCATTCCCTATCAACATCTCCAGATCTCGGTCAACAAGGCTATAACCGGGGATTGATGGCCAGGCAATTGATGGTAGATGTACGGCGTTCCAATTTGGAGGGAAGAACATCCCCAGGCCTCACCCCACCCTTCGACAGCGTAGGATTCAGCAACGGGGCAGGGAATTCAGACGTGGCCTCGAATCTTTCTTCTAGCTCTAGCGAGAGGTTCCCCTATTATATCACATCGTCATTGGGCGCCAACTCTAGATTGTCGACTCCGTTCCAAGGGATTCGCCCCCTGCCTTCTCCTCACTTCAGGGACTCGGCTGCTCGTCCCAGAGCCGACTCTGCTCACTCATCCATGGCTGATTGCCAGCAACCCATATATCCAGCGCCGAGCAGTGGCTACGACGGCGAGTATTATCCTGGTAGGTTTTCATATACAACTCCCTTGGCTGCTTTTCCGGTTGTCTAACAAATGAACAGCCGGAACATCTAACTCAGCTTCAGGAATTGGGCTCGACAGCAGAACTCGATTCACCCCAGCTACAACATTCTCAGCAGGTCTTGAACCGGGCAACCAATACCGACCAGATGGCCCTTCATCAACTGAGACCGCGGGACTCTCAGGCCAGGATCGCAGTGGCTCTCACCAATACACGAACCCTTCGATGTACCCTACAAGTTACCCCCCGCCCCAAATTCCGGACTCAAACGGTCTCATCACGCGGTCATCCCGGGACAGCTCCCCATACCATTCTCTCCCGACTGCCCAGGCTCTGGCTGCCGCGAGCTACCAACAACATGGCCGTTCTAACCCTCCGCTAGGCGGATATTATGAGCCAACCGTATTGCCATACGCCAACGATTAAGGGGCTTTTATCTTTTGTTTTTTTCCAAGGGATCAAATTCACACGGGAGGTCGCTGGCGTCTCATTCTCATGTTGCTCACGTTTCAACTGTTTTTATTTTTATTATTGACTTTCATGTGTATATATTGGCACACTTGATTCCGCGTTTTCTTGCATGGGTTTGGGATTAGGTTTTAGGTTTAGGATTGGGTTTGGATTTCGGTCTGGGGCTGGGTGTGTTTAGCCCCAGGGACCACATTTCGCCTTCACAGCACGGGGTGTTTGGCTGGGGTTTTTTTTTTTTTTTTGACATTTCTCCTTTGCAAAAACATACGGTACAGCATTGTGTGAAAGATGATTTTGATGAATTTTGATGGATTGAGTGTCGGAGCATGAAATATTGTATATATATCCATGTGGTTTTTCGGTGTTGTTTGGAGATGGGAGGGGTTTGGTTTGATTTTTGCGGAGTAGAACATACCACTCGTCCTCGCGGATATTGAGCCCAGGGGGCGCTATCCGAGCAAGCAGTACTTACCTGTCTGGGTTATTCACATACTATGAAACTGTGCGCTACTACTTATCTGCCAAGTTTGAGATTTTGTGCCTATTCACGTTGTCTTGATTACACGTGCTATGCTTTCACAACAGCAGTGTCCCAGAATAACTTCTCCGCAATCTACTCAGGCGTGTACGACGTCCACACATCGATTTGGCGGCTCTGAGATTCTAGAATTTTTGATAGGGTGCACTTCCTACTAGCCACAAGTTCTGCTACAACGTTGTGAATAGCACGTCATGGGCTATAACCACACGCTCCGGTTTATCCCAAATAGACACGCGTGACTCAAGGTCGCGTTTTCGAACAGGACATGTTGTAGAGACACCAATCAAGCCCTCTGGGTATTAATGAGACACCGAAAAGCGATAATCCTTAGCCGAGTGTTGCACATGACGTTGGCAGATGGTGAAGGTCATACTGCCTAAACTGATCCGCGGGAAAAAGTGGGGTTGGTGCTTGGAGGAGTGCGAAGATCCGGGAGCCGCCTGGATCGATGGTCCCCCCCAGATGGCGAGGACATTGAAGGCCACGCTTAGTCTTGCTCTGGAGTTTACGGGGTACACTGTGTCACCTTGTCCGGGACCAACTTGCCAACATACGCGGACGTGGTTCTAGTCGGACGGGGCTTTTCAAATATAGGTCCTAGATCTACTTGGTGGAGAGTGAAACTATTAGCCGCGGTCCGTGGAGGGTATGGAAACGAGGTATTCTTGGCTGAGATTCGTGGCCCAAGCTTCAGATTTAAATTGCCGTGGTGTTTCCTCCTGCAACCAGGCGGTTAGCGACGCGTGGCGCACGAGGGCGGCCAGGTCGCAAACTACATCCGTGGATGGTCGGTTTACCAGATGTTCAAAATCTCATCAAGTGGGAGCCGGCTGGTGTTCATGCATGTTCAGGATGGGGAGAACGCACAATAGTTGCTGCTCACCTTTGTGTGTCGGGACAATGAAGGCCCTGAAACGACAATGGAATGAGAGGGGCGGAAAGGATGGACCGATTAATGTGAAAAATACAGTGCACGTGGAAGTGCCGATGGCAGCGGAAGCAGACGGGCAGCTGGATGGCATTGGTGGGTATGATGCCCTAAAGTGGAATGGCTTGGTCGGAGGCATTCTCTGGAAATGCCATCATATCAGACGGGAAGTTGGTATGTTACTTGCATCAGGTCATCACCGCATCATGGCAGCCGCACGAGGGGCCCTCGTGATGATGGTTTTTGGCAAGGTTATAGGCTTTTTCTGGCCACGGCGTCGGAGTCGTCAGCAGCATGGAGTTGACCAGAGTCATGGTAGGCTGGCGAGCAAAATATACAGCGAGCGTGGTGGCTTTGGATTTTTAATTGTATGAGAGAAGAGGGGAGAAAAAACCGCCCTGGTGACTTCCTTTTGTACCCAACCGTCAAGGGCGGCCGTAAAATTCCACCGCGGGTCATGTGACTCGGCCCAGCGCAGAGCATCGGGCGGTGCCCATTGGTGGAAGACGACCGGTGGACCCGGTGAGGTGGGGCCCCTGATCGTGCCTGGGCCTGTTCCCACGCCCCTGTTGTGGCGGGCTTTGTGTGGTGTGAGTGCGTGGTTTGGTGGTTGTTTGGCGTCGGCTGCACGCCCTGCCCGCTGAACTGGCACTGACAGCCACTAGACGCTGCCACTGCCTAGTCTTTCAGGCTCCGAAGTTTCCCTCTTCTCAACTCCACCTTCATCTCTCCATCACCACCTCGCAGCCACTTCATCAATCTCCCTCAAACACCACCCCATCCACGGAAAACCCCCCCCTAAAAGCGACCTTCCGGGACCAGCGACCCTACGATTCCGATACGGCTCCCCAGCGGATTTTCGACTGTGGTGCCGCCCTCCGCCCTTCCCGCCATTTCACCGCCGTCAGCGCAAGGAGGAAATTTGACATCAGCACATTGCATGACGGCTACCTGAGCGGAGCGACTCGGCACCTTGGTCGGCGACCTAGGCGCGACTCGCCTCACACGATCATTACACCTCCTTGATTCGAGGGCATCTCCATCATGTCGTTCCATCCACGAACTCCCCAAAGCCCTTCGCAAGTTTCACCAGCAAACTCTTCTGACGCCATCAATCCCAACTCGACGACGATGACCGCCAACACCCTCCCTACTCCCGCGCACAGCGTCACCGGAAGCACCTCCCAGACCGACATCGCCGCCAACGATGACTCCCCCAACAAGCGCAAGCGCGCTCTCGAAGACGAGGGTGAACGTGACTCGAAAAAGGTCCAGCTCGAGGGGCACAGGCTAGGCATCGAGGACCTGCATCTTGATGTGGGCGAGAAGTACCTGCTCTGCCAGACTCGTAAGACTACCTCTGCTTCTTTTCTTCTCACCTGCCCGCCACGGAGCGAGCCCCCTGCTGCACGCTTCTTGGTCCAGACAGTGTTTTGTTAACTAGGCTTATCCTGCAGCGCATCTCGAATCGCTACCTCAAATGACGGAGGATCTGTACGAGATGTTCAATCTGACCGGCCTCGCTTCCCAAGTCGCACGAGAAAAGCCGAATGGCGAGAAGAATGCACTGCGTAAGACATACAAGGGTCACTTGAAGCGATTAGGAGTCGCCGGTTCATTCGGGGAACACAAGAAGCCGGAGGGCGCTCAATCTGAGTTCTTAGCCTTGGTGTACGCCGCAGATGAAGACTACCACTCCCTCGAGGTTAACAACCGCGAAATCGGACGAGGTTTATCAGACGCCACCCTAGCAGCTCTCCCTCGCGCCATGACCATGGCGAAGGGGTCGTTGTCCAAGGACGTGTGGGACACGTCAGTTTTAGGGGATCTGGCACCCTTTACCGGTGATGGCTCGAAGCTGTCGGGGGGCAAGCTCACTACGCCAGGCACTCCATTAGCAGGATCGACTCCTGCAAATATCGCACGTTCCAAGCAGCAGCCTGCGGCAGGACAGAATCCCCTCAGGCCTCAGCGCGGGCCGAAGCGAAGACACGACCAGTGGGAAGGCTACGAGGGCTTTGAGGATGAGGATGCTACCGACAGTGAAGGGGCCCACAAGCGAAGAAAGAAGGTTCGTATTCATAATGATTCACCAAAACCTCATGCTGGAAGCATCTAACCTTCAACAGAACGCTGGCAACGCATCGCCATACCCGAACCCTATGCGCCAACAGAGCTACGGTCCGGGAATGGTCGGTGCCTGAAAAGGCTGGCCACCAGCCATTTCCGCCGATATTTCTTTCGTTTTCTTCTTTCTCCTTCCTTTCTTTCGGTCTTATCATCCTCACCCCGTCGGAGCCAAATAATGGAGCTCCTTTTTGGAACAACACTCACATTGGCTCCACGGGATTCATTGCACGCATGGGTGGGAAAATGGTTCGAATTTGGTTTGGTAACTTGTACAGGATTTTTTTTTACGATACACGAAAAAAGGAAGAGGCGTCCCAGGCAGAGTCAGGCAGGACGGCTGGATTCATGCATATTGACGGAAAAAGGGGGCATTCCGTCTTCTCGCAAATTTTGCCTCTTTCTCCTCTAATCAAGCACGGCGTTTTAGGAAGTGGATGACACTCACATAAGGGGGGGCTCGACGGTCAAGGGGGGATCAAGGAGTTCCCCCTTTTTTTTTCGCTCTCATCATTCTCAAACTACTCGATCATCCTACATTTGTCTTTTTTGGGTTTTGGCTTTTGTGCATTGCTGTCTCCATTTTAGGGACACGAGCGGCATGTTTTCCGCTCTCTTTTCTTCAGTCTTTTCTTTCTCTCTTGTTCTCTTTTATCCTTGTGGAATTTTTTACAGCTTTATTATATCAAAACTAAAGATGCAGCGCAGAAGAAGACGGGGGGTTCCAAGCGAATCGGGGTGGACCAGACAGATCAATCAGGGGCTGCTTGGAATATATTTGTACTGAGCAACAGGATCTGAACAAGACTCCCGAGGCGGAGCAAAATTCAGACAATTGCAAATTTCTCCCATGAGGCTGGGTTTGATGGTGGTGTAGATACCAGTAGAAATCCCACATCAATCGGTGCCCATGGTTTGACAACTTTTTTTTTTTAGAAAATAACAAAAATCAACACTACTTCTTGTGTCCTTGAACAGATTGTGATTGTCATTTCGCCCATACCCAAGTTACTAAACGCTTACATTATTCCCAAATCAAACCATGAACTTTGGACATTACGTGATGCTCAAGTTGCTTATTATCCTCAACCCAGCCTTACGCGTGTATTCGTTTCTCTAGTGTCTCATTACTGCTCACGCTGGCCCTGCATATTTCCACCAAACATTCCATTCTCAACAGTAGGATACGCTCCACCACTGAGTTCGGCCCAATTCCAGTCTAAAGTCATCGGTAATGAGAAAAGATCTTGTGGTAAAAGAGGCTGCGCGAAAGGCGCCCCTGGATCACTACCAGGGATTTCTGCTCCTGAAGAAAAGCCTGAAGGGTCGCCAAAGGCTTCAAAGCCTCCACTTCCGAGC